GTTGCATGTAGGTGGAGTGTGAAATAATTAATTAATTTTTTTACGTATTAACATGTTGCAAACCTTTATCAGGAGTCACTCACAGAGGTAGAGGAGAAGTACAAGAAAGCCATGGTATCGAATGCACAGCTGGACAACGACAAAGCCAACCTCATCTATCAAGTGGACACACTCAAGGATGTCATAGAGGAGATGGAGGAGCAAATGTCAGAGATGAAGAGGGAGCTGGAAGAAAAGTCGAAGGTGATAAATCTCCCGTGTGGTAACCTGTAACGTCCCAAACTCTTTACAGAAGAGTTGTGGCTAAAATGTTCTGTCTGTGCTTTCAGGATCTAGAAAGACAAAAACACACATGTACAGTTCTCCAGCATAAACAAGAAGAACTGAAAGAGGGAATCCGCCAGAGAGATGAGCTTATAGAGGTATTGTTGAACCTTAAACTTTTTTTTTTCAGCCTAGTGTTGATGTGTCTGTACTGGCTGCGGAAGATGTTCGGAAACTACTGCGCTAGCTTGATAAGGACTGATTGGCACTGGCCTGCCTCTAGATCCTCTACCATAGATCCTGTCTATTGCTCTGACAATTCTTCTCATTCCATATATCCTATCAATCATTCATTTCTATATCTATTCCTATTCCAGCTATATCTGCTCTAATTAGTGTCTTTTCACACTGTTTCACCAGTGTCTGTCTTTTTGTCTCTATACATGTGCATTTTCACTTCTTTGTTCCATTCAGTTTTTCTTGTTTTGTTCCTGTCCTGTGTTGTGTCCTCTTGTTGCTGCTCAACACCACTCCAGGAGAGCCAGAAAATGCAGACTAAGTTAGATGCCCTCACCAGAGAGGTGTTTGACCTGCAGGAAACGATAAACTGGAAGGACAAAAAGATTGCGGTAGGAGGTCCCATGCCTTTGCTCTGACAGAACATGAGAGGCAATCGATGGCTGTGGGGTTTTCTGTCCCCCTCTCCGCTCCAGCTCTTTTGCCTCTCATGCTGTCTCTGCATGATGGAGACCCTTAGGCATTAGTACATAACAGAACCCATTCACATACGGTTTGGATTTTTGCATGTCAAAATAACAGATTTCAGTTTGATTGTGTGGCCTCAGCTAACAATAACAGTGTACTGGCAGGGCGTTAAAGCCTGCTGTGGTCAACATTTCTGGAAGGATGGTCATGTGAACTCTAAGAGACATTAAGTCCATAAATTGCAGCATGAGATGCATGTTCCATCTGTGAATCGGTCAATTTGTTAATGTAGTCAGCATCGTGTTAATGTAAAGTTGTTGTTTTTTTGTGAGAATCAGAAGCAGTGCCCTTTCAACCCCCTGTGCTCTACCTTTCCTTTTAATCTTTCCCTTTAACCCTCAAAGCTCGTCACCTTGTCCTTCTCTGCTCGTGTGCTGTTTGTTATTACGTCCCTCTTCTTTGTTCGATATGCACAGTGCATGTTTGTGCATGGTACCTGTCTTGTTCCAGCATGTGTGGCATTGCATGTCTATCCAAAGTCTATCCAACTTCTCTGCCTCTTCTCCTCTCTCTTGTCTTCTCTCATCCATGTGGCCAGGCCCTAGAGAGGCAGAAAGAGTACTTTGATTGCATTAGGAATGAAAGAGATGAGCTCAGAGATGAGCTCGCTGACATCAAGGGGAAATCCAAAGCAGGAGAGGTAGGTCAATCGAATGACAAAAAAAATAAAGGTTACAGGAAAGAGCTGCTGGCCAAAAGATTTTTGTTGTGGTTGTTTTTGTTCTTCTTGGAACTAAGCCTGCTGTTTTGTTGTTATACTTTTTACTTCCACCGCTTTGTTTTTCTTTCCGCTTTCTTTGCTGTTTCACTTATTTTAATTAGTTGTTTTTTTGTTTTTTCCCCTGCTTCCTACTTGTGCATAACTTTTGGTAACTGCTGAATTTGTTCTTGACCCTGACTACGTTTCATTAAATAAAATTCCTAATGTATGCAAACATTATCACTGTAGTACTTGGATCTCAACATGGTAACTAAAAAAAAAAAAAACAACAGTCAATAACAGCAATGTGAGTTCAGATGATGAGAATGCACACTGCTAGGACGTGTTGTTGTAACAGTTCAATAGATTTAACTAGAGTCATGTTTCTTTACCCACTGCCAGATGGGGTGACGTTATCTGGTATCAAATTTTGCAATAATATTAAAGTGTTTTGCAAAACCTGTCAGAACACAAGCAGAACATTGTTTGAAGCCATCATTATTCTCATCAAGCAGTTGTTGTTTCAGTCCAGTTTGTGCTTTCAGGCTTGGATTAGTGCAGCCTGTGCAGTGTCAGGGTGTAAAACATTGGAATGAATGTCTCGATCCACACGTTTAAACCTCTACAAATCATTAACTGTTACATCCTGGAACCACAGCACTCACTGTGCGGGATGGTATCCTATAAAAAAAAAAGTATAATAGAACAAGGCTTCAGCTAGCTTTTTTTTCCTTAACTACAGAAACATGGGCTGGTCATCATCCCAGATGGTACACCAAACGGAGATGTCAACCACGAGTCTCCGTCCTCAGGGATCACTTTGGTCTCCCAGGAGGCCGCCCAGGTGCTGGAGTCTGCAGGAGAGGGTCCACTGGGTGAGTTGGACCACCTGTTGCCTATATAGTGGGAATGTTTACAGCAAGTTAGGCATTTCATTAATTTTTCCTTGGAAAAGACTAAAGTTCTCAGCTTGATTAAATGTACTCTTCTTGTGTTTTGTAGATGTCAGGCTACGGAAGTTGGCAGAGGAGAAGGACGAACTTTTGGCTCAGATTAGGAAACTGAAGAATCAGCTGGAGGAGGAGAAACAGAAACACTCAAAGGTGGACAGTTCGTACACAGATGGGGAGAGGATGGAAAACGGTACAGACCTGCACCTTATTGAAATGCAGAGTAAGTTGACCTCGCTACCCGACTTACACGACAGCTAAACCGCAACCACCCCTTTTTCTTTTAACGTTGAAACTCTGCTCTCTGTAGGAGATGCCAACAGACAGATTAGTGAATACAAATTCAAGCTTTCAAAAGCAGAACAGGAAATGGGTACAATGGAACAAAATGTAAGTGAAATGTTTATCAGAAACCTCAGTAAAAAAGTTGGTATTGTGGCTAAAATGGGAAACTAATCCGTTCCGGGTTTTGTTTTTGTTTTTTTTCTCCCCCAGATTAACAGACTTGAAGGGCAAGTCTCCCGGTACAAGGCAGCGGCAGATAACGCAGAGAAAATCGAGGACGAACTTAAAGCAGAAAAACGTAAAATTCAAAGAGAGGTAACAACACCTAAATCAGATTTAGCCCAGAGCACAAACCTGATGTGGCAGAATGTTGACTGTGTTATCTCCCTCTGCTCACCCACAGCTGCGCACAGCTTTAGATAAGGTAGAGGAGATGGAGATGACCAACAACCACCTAGTAAAGCGCCTTGAGAAAATGAAGGCCAACAGGAATGCCCTTCTGTCACAGCAATGAGGCAAGGCAGCGTCACCACAGAAGCCCTTAAATCCGCACCTCAGACCTCTGACTGCCATATTGCGACTGGAGCACATTTCCATTTTCAGCTGTAACACTTTGAGATTTGTAGCTAACCAAAAACACTTAAAACCTGTAGCACAGGCAAACGAACTGAACTGTTTTCTTTGTTTTTCTGAATCAAGAGACATTGGTTTTGTGTGGGAATGAACTCAGAAATACGACTAATAAAACTACACGAGTTGCTGGGAGATACATCTGAGGACATTTCTCTACTCACTACTTAAAATTTCAGAGCTTTATACTACATCGTGTTATCCATGAGATTTATTTCCCTCTGACTGGGTGCTTGACTGTACTTTTTGTTTTGTTTTGTTTTTTGATGTGCTTTTTTTTTTTGTTTTTTTTGTTTTTTTGTTCCATAAGTTGCATGAATGAGTATAATGATGCTTTTTAAACAATTCAACCCTGATGGCTGCTCCAGCCCCGCATCTTCCTGACTTCCTCTCACACAGTGAAGTGCCTTTTCACACCAGGAGATTGGGGGTCTGCACCGCTTAATAAAACAATAATTGTTTTAACAGGTACATGTATTTAAAAAGGAATAAAAATAAAAAAATTAAGGTGCAGTTATTATTTGAATATATATATATATATAAAACCAACTGTGTCTGTTGCGGTTTCTTTGAAATTTTTCAAATATTTAAAAGATTTCTTGAAAATAAATGTGTCATTTACAGAAGTGTGGATTCCATTTTATTTTTTTATGTAGGACAATTGACCTACATTATTTCTGCATAGATCTTAAGGCACTTTAAATGTTAGGTACAATAGTTCTACTGGGAACTGTTGTACTACTGGGGATCTACTGGGATCTTCCCACACAACCATCATAGGGTTTACAGAGGGGGGGTCCAAATCTCTGGGTGAAAATCCCTTGCTGATGCCAGTGGTCAGAGAATTGTCAGACTTCTTAAAGCTGCTAGGACAATAACAATAACCCAACCACTCGTCACAACCAAGTTGTGCAGAAGAGCATTTTCTTCTGCAACAATATGTTGAACCTTAAAGCAGATGGGTTACAGCAGCAGAAGACCACACTGGATGCCACTCATTTCACCTAAGAACAGGAAACTGAGACTAAAAAGAAAAATGCCCACTGGGCTGATTTCTGCTGCAGGATCATTGTGTGATGCTGTCACATCAGCATGTATCGAAAACTCTGCTGAATGTTTCCAGCACTTTTGAATCTGCCATGGAGAATTAATACAGTGCTGAAGGCAAAGGGGTGTCTAACCAGGTACTAGCAAGGTGCACCTACTTAAGTTCTGTCTCTTGAACCTAAACTAAAAGCTGGTTTGACAGGAGAGGGGTCTGATGGCTGATGATGTGCCACTTTTGGATACTCTTAGAACAAGAAGTAAGCTGTCACTCTGAGACTGAGGCTCCGTTGAGATAATTTCTCATTCATGTGAGAAGAAATGAAATTAATTTAACAGGGAGCCAGTGACGAGAAACTAAGCTGTTCTTATTAACCAAGAGGTCTTCATTTGATTCTAATACTGAAGAGAAGCCCAAAATGTTATCAGGGGCCAAACGAGGACAAGGCTGGTTTAACCACATACACCGGATACTCTGTCAATGTTCAACCCAACCATTATAGCGCCATCTTATGGTCAAATTGCTGGCACCCTGAAAGATGATTTCAAACCAGGAGGATTTTAAAAACCTCAAATGAAGCCCATCATTATGGCCCTTTAGTGATTCTTTTATGAGCTAAAAATACTTCAATGGCCAAGCTAAAGATTCATGCTAACATCTGGTGTCCTGTCATTCCCACTGCCCTGAAAGTGAAGGCTACAAAAAAGCCACAGAACAAAACTGCAAATTTTGTGGACCATTTTTATTAAATATTATCTGCTTTTCTTGTGTTGTTTCCAGTCAAACTTTCTTTCCCATGTATGTCTTTTAACACGTTAATCCCACTGCTAAGCAATACTTGAAAGGGGCTGTCAGAGTTCTTCACTTCAGGTTGTATTACTGTGATGTGCGAGTAAAGAATTGAAGCTGATTTTGGAATCTTAAAAAGTGGAGCACATCTTTTAGATTTCTGCTTCTCTATGCATAGAGCGAGGGAAGCCTACACCAATTTCCACTTTTGAAACTCTGAAATCAAAAGATGTATGAATTTAATTTGTCCCCGTTTGGAACCACTAGAATAACTCAGGTTCGCTTTCTTCTTTAAAAACGAAACAGAGTAAATCAGGTAAGTACAGTTCACTCCCTTTTCTGGTCTTCTGCAGGTGTTAAACTAGTTACTGTCCCTCAGGTGTTGATGGAAACACTGGCAGAGCTGCATTAACCTCCTTCACACAGAGTGCTGACACAGCTTCGACTGACAGGTGGAATGGAGAAGTAATAAAAGTCGAGCTCATTTGCTGGCACGTTTTCGGGTTTCGTTATGGGACTTGTGACCCACTTCTATTTTCCTGGCTTCACGCCTGAAGTCTTAGTGTTAGGAAACCATGTGGAGCCTTGGCACTTTTCAGTAAGCCGTTCAGAAAGGGTTTCCTGCAACAGAGACCCTTTTATAACAGAATTTTTACTCATAAAGACAGAAATGTGAAGTCTTGTTTTCTATAAAGTATTTATTTACAGTATGTGTTATTTAAGAAAAAAAAGAAAAAGAGCTTATATAGTTGATTTTTTTCAGCCATGATGAGCAGTTTCAGCACCTCTCAAACACTTTGTAGAGATCGGGTAAGTTGGCGATCTGCAGCACAGTGCCATCCTCGCTGAAGCTCTTCGGAGGACTGAAGAGGGTTCGGAAAGCTTTAAAGATGAGGTGTTCGACTTTCCACCGCCAAGAGTTCACCTCAGTGCCCTGAAACGTCACGAGCGTTACACCTCACACGAGACAAAACAAGGTCCATAACTGGCTGGACAATTTCTGCAAAGTTCAGTATTCACACCTGCTCCTCTCCTGGCTCGGCCTCCAGGATGTACTGCTTCCTGATGGAGTAGAACATGCTGCACTCTTTGCTGAAGTCTCTGAAACAGTCCTTTTCACCGTCCCAGTTCACCTGCACGACATCGCCGCACAAAGGTCTTCAGTTTGTGTTTCCAGAATTGTAGCTTAAATGGAGAGGCTATGATCTAGCTTACCTCAGTTGCCAGGCGCAGGATGAACATGGGGAGACCCTCCATGACTGGGGTGTAGTTGTCGAGGAGCAGCGGGAGTCCTAGTAGGTTTCCTTCCTGTTGTGGATGTGTTTTGGGTTTGGTTTCTTTTTTAGTTATAACATGAGTTCGAACAATGTTGAAATGCAAGCAGAAATTATCTAAAGAGAATATTTCTGACCTGGTCTATCTCCATGGAGAAGTAGTCCTCTAGCATCTCCGCTTTCTTTTTCAGGAAGTCCACTATGTACTGAGCCAGGCCTTCTTTGGGACCGTCCTCTTCAGTCCAGCCGCTCTCCTCTGACTCCAAAGCCAACATGGCCAAGTCATAAAGAGGTGCTGGGGTCTGAAAACACATTATCCATCATTAGGATCCACACAGTGTTTTCTAATCACTGACGTTGTACACTTTACTTACAGACAGTCTGAGTACACCGAAATTTCCAAAGTCATAAATGAGTATTTGGTAGAAAAGCTCCTGGCTGTAAGAGAAACACATTATGAGACATAAAGCAGCAGCACCAGCTTGAAAGAGCAGAGCTGAACAGAGTTTTTTCACGGTTCTCACCTGAGTTTGTTGGTGTTGAGCAGGTAGAGCTTAGTATGATGTTGCACCAGAGACCACTGGGGATTGACGCAGCCCACAAACGAGTGGTTCTGCATCATTTCTTGAAGGCCTGGAGAGAACGTGCATGAATAAAACATGTTTGGCTTTGTTTTGTTATATAAATCACAAAAACCGCTCTTAAAGTTCATCAATAAAGGGTTTATTTGAGACATGCTGAGAGGTCGAATGAATCATTACGAGAGCATGATGTAGCAGCAGAAGAAGTTGCGTAAAGCTGGTTATGAAAAACGACCTGGGCCCCGGAGCAGGAAGTCAAATCAGTGGAACATTTTTAGAGAGTCAAAGAGGTTCTTATGTTAGACTGCTCAGTTTAGCCGGGATGGAGATTCCCCAGATCTGATTTGGCGCTAGTGCTCAGAGGTACAGGGCAGGTTTTGTGACGCCACACCTTTATGTGTGTTCTCTGTGATCTCAGCTCTCAGCTCTTTGATGCTGTTCAGTTTGATCACTCGTCTCTTGGGCGTGGCTGCGGCCGTCAAGTCCTCGCCTTCTTCCTGCTGCTGCTCTTTCTGCTCTGTCCTCGGTCGCTTCCTGTCTCACAATAACGCACACAGACCCAATCACACCCGGTTACATTAAAAAGGCTGTGGGACTTAACAGGATGTGCCAGTGATCATACATGTTAACACACATTTAGTTGCAGATATTTGTTGTCTTAAAAATATAAAGTCTACATGTACTCCAAGATTGGACTGGATGACTTTCTTTGTTGGCCACTTGGGGGCAGAAGAAACCAACAGTATTCATCTGGAGTCATGTTTCTGCTAAGCTAACGCCAATATTTATCCTTTCTTTATCTACTTCTACAACAAGGAGGAATATGTGGCTCTGAGGCTGCCAGATGTTTGACTTTTCTTGTCTGATTTGTCACAGCTGTTTTGTGCTGCGTGGTTGGCTCACTTTAAATTTTGCCTGAAACTCTTTAATTACCCTTTACAGCTCAGGAATCTATCTATGAAGGATCTTCAGTGTTCATGTTTTAACAACTGTCTCGCCAAAACTCTTAACAACCTGTTATTCAGTCTCACCCCTAGATGTCAGTACGTTACAGTCAGCTGAATTCTGTTTTCTTACTCCTCCGTATTCAAGTGAATAATGCAATAATGCCAGCTACAGTTGCTGCTGTAGGACAAACATCTCTGGCTGTTCATCTGTAGTGAGTGTGACTGTCACTCCACCGTTTACGTCAATATGTGTCCACGTCTATTTACTCTGGCGGAGGCTGTAAAACTTTGTGAAAGGAGTCTGATACCACTTGGTGAGTCAGTGAAAATCACTCCTGTGTAATCACAGCGATAATGAGCTGAGTTTTTGAGGATATCCTGAACCTTTCTGTTGATAAGCGCTGCTCTTTTTTCAGCTGTTAGCTGTTGTTAGCTGGCGCTGAAAGTGAAACTTTCTTTAAAGTGGATCTAAAATCACTCTCACAGGTAGTGAATAAACTCTTATACAATCTGAGTTTAACCAAATAGTTTATCAGAGGGAAAGTGTGACTCTTAGGATACTCGAGCCTGGTGGTATACTATTACCTCATGTATGTGTGGCCAATCATTAGCCACATACATAAACACATGTCCATCTCAGCCACTGTATTCAATATGACTGGGCAACATGGCAGCTTTCACAAACCATCGCCTGCTCCTATGTATTTAATTCTATTTCTGTATTAATTCTGATTTAATGAGAAAGCAACACTTTGTTGGAAGACGTATTGATACACTCCTCAATGCATATTTAAGAGCACAGCGTTCTTTTTTTCAGTTAAATAACCTTAAAAAATGACATGCTGTAACTTTAGTTAAACACAACACTGCTTTTGTTACTGATTGGCCCTAAGGCTGATGTCTCATCAGTGAGGGCTGATCCATGTTTACTTTTACATTCTTCTTTCTGCTCTCTTACACAACTCATTTGCTGCGGGTCAATGTTCAGATTTGCTCACAGTGCAGGATCAATCGTACATTAGACTTGTCCTGATCTAACTTGCAGAAATTCTGACAGGATTACACTCAAAGTTACTCCCTGACTGAGTCTTTAATCCCTGCTGACTCACACAATCTAATGCTGCTACTGCTACTGCACATATGTCATTCACCTCTGATTATCAAGAGCACCGACGCTGCCTTGTTCCTCGCCCTTTGGCACCTCTGCTTCCTGTTCAGCCAGCGCCTCCAGCATGTCTGAGTCATCTACATCGTCTATCTCTATGCTGTCCGCCTGGATGGCTTTGATCGCAGTCTGCCCACTGCTGGGACCAGCAGGCTCGGGATCAGGGAGCGGCTTTTCTTTCGGTTGGAGGAAGGCATCTAGCTTCTGTGTGCGACAGTCGGTCCTCACCATCTGATGTGCGTAGACTCGCTCGCTAGACTCCGATGTGGTGCTGGAGGCCTTAACCTCAGTGTTACCTGAGACTGACAGTCCCGGCAACAACGTCTACACAAAGACAGAGATGGGCACAGACTGTAAATGACCTGGTGGTAACTTCCACTGCTGAAAGATGAAGCCAGGGCAAAAGCCTTTCATACAAATGTTGTCACTTGTGGTTGCAAAAAAACAAAGATGGAGACAGGAACGCTAAATTTGAGCTTTAAAATAAATGCAGGAAATTAAAGCGACTGTATCCATCTTTTATCTACAGTCTGCAGTAAACACGTGGCGGTGCACAATACGTCAGATAATGTGGACGTGAAACAGTAGGGGCACAGTAAGAAAGAGACCTTGTCACTTCATACCTGAGTGAAATATGTACGTGAGGAGTTGGAGCCCAGGAGTTTGCTCTCGATGTGCTTCTGAACGCTCTCGATGACACTGTCCTCATGCAGGAAGTGCACTTCATGTTTAGTGGGATGAACATTAACATCCACATTCTGAGGAGCGATTTCTAAGCTGTGAAAGTTAGAAAGTAACAGTGATTCAAGGTTGTAACTCAAGAAACAGTGTTAGAAGAGTCCTAAATGTGATTCAGATATGTCAATAACAAGCAACAGATGGTCTTTCTTGATGCAGAGAAGCCCTTTGACCAAGCTGAACAATTTGGTTTAGGTCATAATTTCATTAACTCCTTTAAGGTTCTTTTTAATGGCCCTATGGCAACCGTTACAGCTAATGTGGTTAGGTGTAAAAACTCTTAAGAGAGGAAGCCAACAGGGCTGTCGCCACTATTATTCAGTCTGGCTATAAAGTCGTTAACTGATACAAAAAGATGTGACCCTGCAGTCTGCAGGATTGTAATTGGTCAGGATCTTCATAAGATTACTTTATATGCTGATGATGTTTTATTATTCTTGTCTAACCCTACAAAAATCAGTAAATCGTCTAATAGAAATGAAACATTTATTTAGCACCTTATCTGGTATAAAAATTTATTTCTCCAAATCTGAGGCTATGTCAGCAACAGACACCCAAATCTTTTACTTCCTCCCCTTTAGAAATGGTCTCTGATGGGTTTCGTCTACTTGGGTATATTTCCAACATCCCAGTTCGATCAGATGTTTAAAGCTTATTTATTCAATAAGATTAAGCAAGATCTTGAACTTTACAACTCACTCCCTATGTCCTGGTTACACGGGGTCTCACTCTATCAAGCGAGGATGATTCAAATAGAAAATTTTTTTTAAAATATAAATGAAAGTTTCATCTGGTCCAAAAGATGGGCACTCATAAAGAAGTCAACTTTGCAGCTTCATAGAATTTAGAAAATATCAATTGAGACGTCTTCTTCAATTTAGCTTTATATTGAATCTTCAGCGTCTAAGCATCCTCTTTCAAACCTAATTGTTATGAAGAATATGAAAACTGTAAAAGATTGGTGTAGGAACCCAATCACAATAAAAACACTCAAGGACTGGAGGGAATGGATTGCAGTGAGAACTGAAATAACATCCATCTTCCCCAACTGTTACCAATCCGGATTTCTTACCAGGTCATTTAAACTATGGACTGTGAGGTTTTCTTTTAGAGACCAACTGGAGAATGTGGTCCTACTGACCTTTAATCAAATAGAGCAAGAATGTAAGATAGGAACAACCTCTTGCATTACTTTCAGATAAGAGACTATGTCAATAACAAAACCGGTCCACTAAACAATGTCAAGGACTCTGACACTGAAATTTTCTACAAGGAGTAATGTTTCAGTTAGCGTGTTGTACAAAATTCAGAGGGTGTACTCTGGGACCAGGACAGCTGAGACAGACCGTTGGCAGACTTTTCTTTCACACAGCCCCTTTCAAACTTCAAGTCTGCCACTTCACTTTAATGTTGTAAGTGTAAAATAAACTGTCTTACACACATTTGAGTTCTCTGTGAATTGCAGAAAACTGAATTGAAACTGAGCTCAACCTGCTGTCTCTTCTTCTTGATCTCCCAAATATTTACATCTGTCTTTTCTGTGGCAGGAAAAAAAATGTACTACTTAAGAGGATTTCTCATTAAACTCACCCAATCACCAGGCGGCACTGGATGATACTGGAACACACGCGTCATTATGTGCCTGGTCCAGTTTTAACAAGTTTAAACAAGAACTTTTGCATAAAACTTCAAGCGATGGTCAAGCTGTGATAACTGAGTTACAAGGATAGATGAATGTCAAAAAGATGTGTGTCTTCCCCCTGCTAAGCCTAACTATTATTGTTGTTATTAACAGATGTACGACTTAAAAAAGCAAACACACACACAAAGCCACACAGGTAAAGTACATTACCTCAAGTAAAGGAACGGGTGTGTGTTCTTGGGGAGATATGCAGCATAAACTGTCTCAATCGCTTTCTTCAAAGCGCTCGACTCCACCAGACGATCTGAGACATCGCAGAAGACAGCTTCATTTCACAGAAACACAGCAGCTAACAAGATTAAATGCTAACTGCTGCGTTTCCAGTAAGTTTCTGTGGTACGTACGGTTTATGAACAGGATCAAAATGCATTTCTTGACTGAATAGTTTGCGTTTGAGATGTAGCCTTTCATCTTATAAGCGAGCTTCTGATCTTCACAGGCAACCTCGATCAGCTCCCTGGGAACATACCACAGAGCCGGTCATGCAATCAGCTCAGAGGTGAGAAGAGGTTGCATAAAAAGCAGCGCTCATCAAAGGAGATTTGCTGGAATACCTGCTGACTGCGTTGCCAAAAATCCCTCGAATATTATCCACTACAGACGCATTGGGAAGAGTCCTTACGTCTGCCACGGTCTCTCCTTGCTGGAAAGAGGAGTCACAAAAACAGACAGCAAATAGTTTATTTGAAGAAAACTGCTTTGCGTGCTTGAGGGAGGCATTTAATTTAAATGAAAAATAAAGCACATCTTACCTTTTTGACAGAGAAGCTTTTTCCTGAGTTGTGTATGGCGTACCTGCAGAGTAAGACAATGTTAACAAGTTGAAGCAAATTCACCAAGAATCATGAGACACGAATAAAACCCACACCTGCCGACCACTTCTACAATCCTGGAGTACTCATCGCTCGGGCTCTTTAGAGCTTTTCTCCTGGTGGAGACGTTATAGAAAAGATCCTCCACCTGCAATCAACAAGAAGAGCAGCTTCTCAGTATCTATAAATTGTATTTTAGAGAGCAGCTCATCTGCAAGGAGAACTCACAAGGATCTGCGTTCCCTGGTTTCCAGCACATGGTTTGGGAGGGCCTTTTAGTTTGCCATCGCTGTAGTTGGCTCTGCAAGAGAACACAACCAATTTATGAGAGAGCTGACATCCTAGTTGTTTTGTAGCCTTTAGTAAGGCTTTAGAGCAGATAAGGAATGCAACAGTACCTGTAAGCGCACTTTGCATCAGCAGTCTTTGTGGTTATGGTCACATGGGCAACATGGCTTATACTAGCAAGGGCCTGCAGACAAGAACAAACACAATAAATGTAATGCAGAACAAATTAATACAGTGAAGGCAGACAGAGGTGCACAGCTCACCTCTCCTCTGAATCCATAGGTTGCGATACTCGAAAGGTCCTCAAAAGTTTGAAGTTTGCTCGTGGTGAACCTCTCACAAACGATTTCCATGTCCTCCTTCTGCAGTAGTGAAAAAGAGTTTCACTTGGTACACAGCATATTCTGAACAAACTACCATAACGTCACCAGCAGGGTCATTCTGAGGCAACCCTTCATACTGACCCTTAAAATTTGAAGTGATTTTTAATCAAAGCCAAACAAAGAATTTTGTTTTTCATAGCATAAATATGTCTGACGTAACATAAAACATCATTTGTAAGCTTGTTTGTAAGCTTAGGCACTCATTCAGTTTTAACTTCATGCATTCAGTTGTTATAGTCATATATCATTGTATGCTTGTTCCTCACTGTGGTGGGAAAACTAAAGCCTGTGACAAGTAATTATGAGTAAGTACTATGTAATTCTCCATCTGGTCAAAACTAAGATTTATACAATTTAACAATACATCGCCGTGGGTTGGAACATGAAAATGATGTCATTTTAATTACATTTTCTTGAAAAATCAATCCTTTTTTTAAAAACTTATATTACTTCTCATTTTGTCATATTTAATGTTACCAGAAATTACTGGGGCAAATTGTTAGAAGACATGAAAAAATGGCTGTAGTTACAAGAAAACAGCTCAAGTATAAAATGTTCAAATGTGTTAACAAGTACACTTGAGTTGGTGTCTTCCGTCTTTCAGTTCAGGGAAAGACTTAGCACACTCAGTGACAGAAGAAAACCAAAATAGCTTAACCCTGACTGCGTAATGATGAAGCAGAGGCCACCCAGCTAAAAGGGCGGGTCACCCACCCTGATGCCAGTGCCGTTGTCCTGAATTTGAAGAAGTTTCAGTCCGCCGTCTTTCACCGTCACCTGAATGCTTGTGGACTTTGCATCCAAACTGGAACAATTGTAAAACACAAAAGTGTATTTACCACAGGGTCACACTGCACGCTAAGAGGAGACAGTTACAGGTCTGTTACTATGTTACACGTGATGTAAACAGTCACCCCGGCCATGTATGGCCACCTTTAATAATCCCGCTACTTGGATATTTAAGTCACTAGTCGTACAGTGACTTAAATATCCTAACGTTAGTGCTCACGTTATTGAAGCTGCTCTTTATATAGCTGCTAATTTACCAGTTTTCAATCATTTCTTTAACGGCGTTGGCAGGACGCTGAATAACTTCTCCCGCAGCAATGCGGTTGACAACAGTCTCGTCGAGCCTCCGGATAACTCCCGCCATGTTTACAGAGCTGCTGACTTCTAGTTTGGTTAAAGAGCAGGCAGAATGTGCGAGTACGTAAACATATGGAATAAACGGTATTTATTTAAGCTAAAGTGCAGCATTACTGCTGTACACGAAACTGAGCACGCTTGTGACCAGAGAGGAAGCAAACAAACAGACCACTCACTCCGCCTGAAAATGTCAGAGTATGTCAGAAGTTATAATGTCGGTCCCTCAAATACCTCAATGACCGTTATAATAAACGTTTTAATCTCTTTTAAAAATAAACTATAATTGCGGAGAAAATTTTTAGACATAATTTTCAATTTATTTAGATAAAGGCACGCATCTTCCTAAACACACAATCTTCGACGACAGCGCGGGTAGAAGGCGGGGGGCGGTGACTACGTCCGGCTGTAGAGCTACGTAATTCCCGAAAAGTCTTCTTCGTTGGCAAATATTTTTGAAATACTGTAGCCTAGCGACCTGTAACGGTTGTGTAATCATGCTTTTTGAGGAGTAAACAGATATTTCTGTGAAAAGCTAAAATAATTACGGTTATATAGTTCAATTACAAATATGTTTGCAGAAAATAAATCGCAATTATCTAACCACTAAAGTGTTTTACTTTCTTCCCCCCCCCCCTTTTGTTTGATCTATTAGTGCTGAGACTGGTACACAGATAATACTGTGGGTCTTTGCCATGCCCATTTTTGGGTTGTACAATTTTGAAGTGTTTACTTAGGCTTAAGGTAATAAATAGCTTAAGTAATTAGCCACAAATACCATTACATAATGAAGTCCTGAGAACTGCGCCCTGGTAAAGATTGGTCTACAAAAAGGTCAGGGGTCACAACCGCTTACAGAATTGCCACCAAAAAGCCTGGCTTCACAATCACAGACCTGCTGTATAACAACATTACATTCATTTAAGGGAACCTTAGCTTCATCTTTTGCCTTCAGCAATTTTCAGCATAGGCTAAAGCTACTTGGGCTTCTCCCTTATTCCCAAGAGGTAACCACATATGGGTAGCTCAGTATATTTGATTTGGCAGAGTTTTTTCTTTTCTTTTTTTAATGCCAGATGTCCTTCCTGACAAAACCCCAAAGGGATGTGTGTCGCCTCTAATGATCTAAACAGGGATCTTTCGCTTGTGAGGAAATTGCGTAAACCGCCATGCCGTTGAGTGAATATATAACATAAATGGCCAAAGTAACATTAAAAAGCTATTTATTTTGATGACCTTTTTTAGAAACAGTATTGCCAAAGCATCAAAATAACATACATCCAAATATCTGAATAGTATACACAGTAATCGTTAAAATAGCAAAATGTATGGTATAGTACGTACAATGCAGCTCCATAACGTAGTTGTTTATATATTCACCTATGAAGTGAAAGGTCTATGAAAGATTCCAACAGAGGCAGAAATCCACTTGGGATTGCATCAGGAAAGGGCATGCTGTGTAAAAATCTGCCAAATCAAACAAGGAGAGCTGCCTGTTTTTCACATGGGAGCAGCTGACAGTAGCATATACAATATAAACCTGTTATGGCATGTACAGAGGTAAAGACATTTGACCTCTAAATTCCAGAGCCTTGTTCTGTATGAGTACAACATTCCCACCAAATAGTTTGTATGTTAAATACTTCCACTCCACCAGAAGACTTAACCCACAGTGGCATGGTCTGCGTTGTCTAATATCAAATGTTCAGACAAGGCAAAACTAAATAATTACTAAATTACGTATTTTAAAAGGTAAAACTATTAGGCATTAGCACAGTTTTCTCCCCTGTACTCTTGGCTGATTCACCTATGAGGCCCTTGCCTGTGCACATAGTTGGCCAGACCACAAACTGCCTGCATTCCTCACAAAGCTGCATGCCTTTCGGCCGGTGGGCTACGGCAGAACAGTGGCGGGAGTTCAGAATCTTCCAAAATGCAAATCTTCTCAGATATTTTATGAGGATTTATTTTTTTATGAAAACTAATCTAGGTTACATGAACCCTCTGTGATTATGACACTAGGTGTCAGAGTTATGTTGCTATGCTGCTACGTTATGTTGCTGCTACGTTTTAGCCCCAAGCAGGGTGACCTCAATCGGATAAAATGCTGTGAGAAAAGGCCTTGTGTCACCATTCAGATAGTACCCTGCACTAGAGTTTCTCAGCACACCCACTGCAATCTGAAATAAATCCAGGCTGGATTTTAAAATTTGTAGTTTCATTTGAAAGTTAAGAATGGGTTTCCAGCAAGAATGAATGAAAATACTCCAAAATCTCAATCCTGAAAAGCAGATTGTCCTCAAACACCTGCAGGAAAGCAAACAGAATGAGGTAGCAGTGAAAAACACATACTGGGTAAGTTTCTGCCACCCTGTACCCAGGATTCTGCATTTTGTTATATCGCCTAGAGTCAAATATGGATTATAATGGAGGTCTCAAACAAAATATATTTCATCTACACTTTTTGCTGAGGTTTAAGTTGCAGTGAGAAACCATGTGAGCTCAGTTCTCACAGAGCCACGTAATATTTTCCACCTGAAATCCTGCTTGGTTTTGTAAATCCCCTCAGAATCTGAACCAGGCTATTTCCGTGTAACCGTTTTTTCATTTTTATGCAAAAGTATATGCCTATGCAAGCAGCCCCGAGAGCTAACTCGGCAGGGTTTAGAAGTTCAGCAGCTCGTTGTGCCGCCTTCTTGAGCCTTTGCCAACTCGACTTCAGTGCCATCAAACAACTAATTGCAGGCGTACGCAAACAAAGGCCACAAAAGAAAATGGAACAACCTAAGAGGTCACTGGAAGTATGAAAGGAAGTCATCTTGGCAGAAATGTGACTCTAATGTTTGTCTTACTTGTGATTTGCTTATTCTGTGCTTTCTAGGCTCTTTCTGCAGCTAAACCTTGAAGGACTGCGGTAACATCGATCACTTTATGCCAAAGGAAAAGCTATAGCTGTGTGCTTGAGTCTGAGATGTACCGTGGGGACTTGATGTCTATTCAGTGTCCCTGACTCAGTGCAGGACATCCCAGTATGCAGTATTTCAGCAGCAGGATGTACCACAGGATGCAATACAATAGTGCTGGAAATAACGCAGGCATGTAAAAAAAAAAAAGAGTAAATGTAAGCAAGATGTAAGGCATTATAGCTGCTCCCTGTTTTTTTTTTGTTTGTTTGTTTTTTTATCTTTTCCACTGGCAGACAGCATGTATGACATCATTGTGGAGAGCTACCCTCCCTGCAGTAAGTCTGTGTCCTGTCTCAATGTAATCTCAAGTCCTGGATGAGGTCAGAGCTGGTTGTGCATTACTCCAGTCAGTAATTGCTCCTATTTTTCTCAGAACATTTCCTCTAGTGCGACATAGTGTAAAGTGCTGATTACAGCTCTGCCACTCCTGTGGCGACCTGCCACACGTAAAGACAGGCACAAGCAAGCACGCATGTTAGTGTAGTTGCACACGGGACATGCACACACACGCAGCTTTGTAAGCCAAAGCGTGTCCAAAGTGGATTCAAAAGGTAGACTTAAATAAACTTTTCTCTTGTTGCAAGCTGCAGACACACACAGAGAAAATACTCTAAAAACACAAATACTGTCAACAGGTGAAATGACAGGCAAATGAGATGCACACCTGCTGCTGAGCACCCTGGGAAATGAGCTCAGCACTGGCCCAACACGGCCTCCACGTACGCCAAACAACGTGGATCCATTTCACACCTTCAAGTCGCTCTCTAGACATTCTGCACTGACACAAGCCTGCTGTTTTGTTACATCTGTGTGTTTATATCTACACCTTTTGTCACCAGCAAGTTGGTAATCTCTGGCTTAATGGAGATAAAAACTGGTGACAGGGGGTTGAAAGAGTACATTATTGTACTCTTGATGTGGGAATGCAATAATCTGTGGAATTTGCCATTCTCTCAACAAGTGACAAAGATAGAGGAGTTAGTCTTTGCTCAAATGACAAGGTTTGTCCAACATGGCACAGATCCAGAATCCACCCAGATAAGAGTGGCCATCTAATTTTGTCATATTCAAGAATTTCATAGGCTGAATCTCATCTGGATATGGATGAATTAAGCAAAACAACGTTAACACGTTTGGAAATGTGCTCAGCCCATTGTCTGCAGACTTTCATTAACTTTCATCATCTCTTTAGCCAAGCATGATCTCACCTCTTTGAGAACCACTAAGACTTCCTGTGTCCCTCCGTGACAGTATGCGCCCAGAAATGGATTCAGCAGCTGCTGCTCTTCCTTTTCTCTTTGTTTTCTCACACTCCATTTTTTTCTCTAGTGTCAATCTTCCTCTTCCTACATGCTCTCCTTATCAGCACAATAGCCTCAGGACATGTTATAAACAACAGATGAACACATGGCTTCCTACATAGAGGTAAAAGAGAGGAACTTCAGCCAAAAACTCAATCAAATCATTTTGTGTTTAACCATTTCAGTGGTTGAATTTTAAATATAATCAACATTACGTGTCTCTACTGGAGTTATCACTAAATACAGAGTAAATAAAAAATAGATGAAATGTGGATGTCTCAGTTTTGCATGTTATTCTTTTTGTCATGTATGTCAGTGCCACAATCAGGTGATTAAATGAATGTGATTAGTATAAACTAAATTTATACCATTCAAGTAAATTAAATTTGACCAGATTCAATTACACTTCATGTTTCACACTGTTCTTATGTAACAAATAATATTGAAAATTTACATGTCTTCACATTTTTTTGAGTGTGGCAATAGAATACAAGGTCAGGATATCAACAAGAGTCATTTCTGTACATGAACGTACATAAAAAAAATGTAGTCGAAACCACAGATGTTTAAATATTACAGTGTGAATTGATGTCAAACAAGAATCGGAGCAAAGCACGGCCATTGTTTAGCACCTTCAGGCTGGCTTCCATCCCCACAAACTCGTCATGCTAAATTACAAAGCAAACCATTTTTACAGCCTAGTTAAAAAACAAAAACAAAACAAAGATGTCCATAGCTTATTTCCCTTTTCATGACAACTGTGAATGGAGTGAATTTGTATATAAGTCACTCTTTTTTAAATGTATTATCCTTAAAATTATGCAGGATTAAGGGTGTAGCTTATTTCAGTAACAGATAGATGCCAACAGGAAGGAATAGTTGTTAGCTGTATGCTAGGCCTGACC